CTGACACTCCTCATCGTACCAGTTGTTCTTTCGGGCTCGCTGAAATCCTTCTTCGACGGCGGTACTTAATGAGCTGGAAATGTGATTCCGCTGCTCGCATATGTCGGTTTGTTGAAGAGTGCTCTCTGAGAGCAGGTGTGAGAGTCGAGTAGCGAAAGCGCTGGCCGTCTGTTGCGATTGCAGCTTTTCGATGTTAAGCTTTCCTTGCATATTTGGCGCACATTTTTTGCTGCACAGAGGCGGGTGCGTATCTTGGCTGCAACAAGATGTCGATGTTTGGGCCTCGGAGTGTGCGTACGTCTAAAACACTGGAAGCGTACCTTCTGTCTATCCCAACATGATCGATTTGGTTTCTCGTTTTTTGATCCAGAGGCAGCTACGTAGCTTGATGGATCTTTTTATGCTTGAACCTAGTACTGCATACTACCATGTTTCGGGCCCCGGCGAAGTCGATCAGCCTCAATCCGTTGTCGGAGGTTCCAAAGATCACTTCCTTGCCCACCCTGGCATTGAAGTCTCCAAGAACGATTTTGATATCATGACGGGGGCAGCGCTCGTACGTGCGCTCCAAGCGCTCATAGAAGAGATCCTTGGATACCTCATCCTTCTCTTCCGTCGGGGCATGGACGCAGATAAGCGAGATGTTGAAGAATCTCGCTTTGATGCGGATTGTGGCTAGACACTCGTCCACCGGGGTGAACGACAGTACTCGGCGACGGTTTCTCTCTCCCACCACAAATCCAACTCCGAATTTGCGCTCCTTTACATGGCAGCTGTAGTAGACGTCGCAAGGCGCCAGACATTGCTTGCCTTGCCCCGTCCAACGCATTTCTTGGATGGCGGTGATGTCAGCTTTTGTTCTTACGAGGACATCAACCAGCCGGGCAGAGGCAGCTTCCCCATTAAGGGTCCGGACATTCCAGGTGCATGCCCTCAAATCGTAGTCCTTTAACCGTTTGCCGTGGTCGTCATCATAAGGGGGGGTCTCATCCGAGGCTTTGCCTTGCTTCTTCACTGGAAGTGGTTTTTACGTGGCGGGTCCCAAGCCCAGCGAACAACGCATTGCTGGGGCGGGGGTGGTTTCGCAACCAAATACACGTTTATATAGCGAGCCGCTTGCTCCAAGCAGACACCCGCTTGCAGCCGCACCTACTGGTGAACAGACGCTGCATCCTTCAGTGAGTCCTTAAACCGAATAAGTGGGAATGGCCCCACCGAAGCTCCCTCTCTTTCTGCCGTGACCCAAGGCTCCACTCGGATTGGTTACCGCATCTCGCACATGGGTTGCTCACGTTGCCCAGAGTGCGCGAACGATGACGCAAGAGTCGGGATTGAGTATAGCCATGCAACTGTAACTGCATACCCAGCGCAACGACTATACCCCATATTATTTTCCAAACTATTCTTTTCAAAAGCTATCTACCTAACCCGTATTCGATACCCAAACCTTGAAAACTTTAAAAAATATATGCACTTCGAGCTAAGCTCGGTCAACCTGGTACTAATTTATAAATGTTCGAAGTTATAGCTGCTATTTCGGATATCACCACCACCCTTATTCTAGAACCCGAATTTACGTAATTCGTAGCAGTGATCAGCAAAGAGTGCCTATTTTGATATTACCCGCCACTCAGTATATTTTGGATATAAGTACGTCTAATCACCACCACTCTGATGTACGCATATGCACAACGACATTCAGCCTCATTGCGCAAGACGTAAATTAGGCTAAATTGTACGACCCGACAACATTGGCATTGCCTACTGTCGTGCTGAAATAAGTAAACGACGAAAATCGTCGAAAACTTCGCAGTGCTGCCAAGTTTTTTCCGTTTTAACACACTAGTCGAGTGGAAATTTTGGGCAATGACGTGAAATTTTCGATACGATTCGACTATCGAAAAACGACTTACATGCGATACGACTCTTGCAATGAGGGTGATTGATTTATGTGTATAAATTTGATCCTCAGCTCAACGGAGTTTGATCTGCAATATTCATTGCATGAGTGGAATCATCTTAATCCTTCCACTCAACCCGAAAATTGTAAATGCTGTTTTCGCCAACTAGTTAGGGCATTGCTATGCAGTTGCACGATGCAGAAAATGAAGGTGGCGCCATTCGTGGACCGCTAACCCCCTCTTCGTCGATTTGACAGCATCCACCCATTCGCTGACGTTACACAATACTTTTGTTTACATTAACTGTTGTTCAAAACCCAAAATGTTTGAGTTTGGTGATTGGTGCGTTTTTGGTGCTTTTGTTTCTAGTGTGAAGACATGAAGTTTGTAAATCTTAAAAAAATGGAAGCAAAATGTATAGCAATCGTAAGTGTGGTAAGCAATTTTACAAAAACTTAAACAAAGTCATGGCACAGTGACAATCATAAGCGACAACAAGATATGTGGCAGCACCTTCAATCAGCGAAAAGAAATCTACCATCGTGCAAGAAACCAGGGACCGTAACGGTTATGCTTTGTTTTTTTTTAAACAAGTCAAAAAATAATCGTTCTTTTTTCACCGATATGTATTTAAAAAAATAAAAGTTACAAAGTTTATTTTGTCGGTTAAAAACAAAAGTTAACACTTGACTTTTATTTTTTCGGCCAAATATAAAAGTTAAAATTTGACTTTTATTTTTTTCAGTCCGAAGATTACGTTCGAAAAGCATTTATGGAAATAGGCACCTATAAGGAGAAGCACACTGATGTTGATACGGACTTTATGGATTACTAGGAGGGTAAAAAGTTTATATATCCCCGACAAAGATATCGCGCATGTATTATACATCAAGTGCCAGCAACACAAGTTAGTGGAGGACGCGCGTTCTCAGCACTAAGCTTATTCTTAGCGATTTGCGATACAATTTGTCGGAGCAGAACTTGGCATCTATAAATATTCATGGTGAAATGAATTGAAGGTGGCACATTGCCGAAACCGCTACTTTGGTTTTGCCGACTTTGACATTTATGGCAATACGTAAACAAACTTTTTGTTTATAAACAAGTGCAAACGTATTGTGTACTTTCAAGTGAAAAATCGAAGTAATTCGTGCGTTCTAAAGTAAAAAACGTTTTATTTGTAATAAAAACTTTATAAAAATGTCGTGTCGTGTGTTTAATTGCAGCAGCCGTAGGGGTAAAGCCCCTAAATGCAGTTTTTTTTTTGTTTCCCCGCGACGACGCCTTGGCCAGAAAGTGGGTAGAGTTCTGCCGGCAGGAGAAGCCCTACAATTTACACACCAGCGTAATATGCATGAAGCACTTTACGGACCACTTTTAAACACGACATGTTAAGTTGACAACGTTGAAATACCACAAATTACAAATTAAAATCAGAGGTAAGCAAGCATCGACCACTGCGCTGCGACAAGATATTATCACTTTTTCGGCACCTGCAATACAAACAGAAAAATTCTAAATAGGTAATTAATAAGACCTATTCTTTTGAACACATTTCAAGAGTGGTTGTATATTTTTTGTTAATGTTGTGCTTAATTTGCTATATTCAAAGATGGCTTGAGAAATCTGGTGAATCGAAAAGAAAACACGTTTTCTCACTGCAAATTCACAACTGTCAACTCATTGTTCTTCGCCATATTCTTTGTTTACCCGTTGCCACAAATTTCATTCTGCGGGAATGCGCAATCTTGTATTCTATCGTTCTTGATAAATATTAATTGTTAAATTGAATTCCGAATCATTCCAGTAAAAAGGTGAATAACTTAAAACTTAAATTAAAACAAGTAATTTTTAGCAAAAAAAAAACCGACTTCAACTCCCATATAAAAAAAAAATATATATATATATATATCTCATGATCCACTGATCGGATCTCAACCAGATTAGTATGGGACCACCTCTGAGACACTACCTTTCCGATGCAAAAAGAATTATCGAAATCGGTTGACGTGGTCCAAAGTTATGCGGTAACATACATCATAAGAAAATTAAAATAAAAAAAGATTCCGACGAACTGATAACCTCCTCCTTTTTTGGAAGTCGGTTAAAAACTGAATATATTTACAGAGCATAGAAAACTGCAATTGACAGGATGTGCATGTTTTATTAAAACATATTGTATTGTGAATATGTAAACTGCTATTTTGACCGAAAAAATAAGTCAGATTTAACTTTTATACTTGACCGAAAAAATAAAAGTAAAATTTTAACTTTTATATTTGACCGAAAAAATAAAAGTCAATTTTTAACTTTTATTTTTGACCGAAAAAAAAATAAAAGTAAAATTTTAACTGTTATATTTGACCGAAAAAAAATGAAGTTTTAACTTTTACTTGTGAAAGGAAAAATATAAGTAAAAAAATAACAGTTAATTGCTGACTTATTTTAAAAAAGTAAAAAAAAAAAATAAATCATATAGGATTAACATTCCTTGGCTAACAAGCATCACATTGCTATATAATAATAATAATAATAGATTGGCGCTTACACATATGTTAGTGTTTGGCCGAGCCTCTCCTCCGACTTGTGGCGTGCGCCTTGATGTTGTCACACAAAGCGGAGGGACCTACAGTTTTACGCCGACTCCGAACGGTGATTGTATTTTTATGGGAAGCTGTTTTTCATGGCCGAAATACACTCGGAGGTTTGCCATTGCCTGCCGAGGGACGACCGCTGTTAAGAAAAAACCTTTTTCTATTTTTTTGCGATGTTGCTTTGACCAGGGCTTGAACTCAGGTGCTGATGAGTGAAAGCACGCACTGCTTACCACTACACCACAGCGGCCCGTTGCTATATACAAATGTTAAAAAGACCAATTCTTTCCGACTGACTTTTTGAATTGAAATTTTTAAAATAACTATTATTTTCGGTCCGTGCAAGAAACATTGATTTTTATTAATTTGAATCGGTATTCTTACAATAAAATTATGTATGCATATAAAGTCCATTAAATACACCAATAAAAATTTGTTGCTTTTTCAAATTCAAAACTTGGCAATACTGCCTTTTGTTCGATGA